TATATATATATTTTGTGATAGGCTTCTAGAAAACATGTCAATCTGATACTTACCTCTTTCTTTGGTCTAATACAGTTAACCTTTTACATAGTTGTTAAAATCAAAGAGTTAAAGGTTGAAAGATTGGGTTGAATTTGTAGAAAATATGTATTTGTGGAAAATAAAGTTTAAGGAGTTTTGTTTGTCGGTGGGAGTTCTGTCCCACTGTCCCTTTATTGTCACGTTAAACATTGGCAGTCAAGTGTTTTGCTTTTACTAAGTGTGATTATTCTGTTCAACAGCAGTGAGTGGAAGAGCATCTGCAATGTCAAACACTCCTACCCACAGCATTGCAACTTCTGTCTCCCAACCTCAGACGCCAACTCCGAGTCCTATCATTTCTCCTTCAGCCATGCTACCAATCTACCCTGCTATAGATATCGATGCACAGGTAAGCCTGGGATTGTCACTGCAGCACAGATGCATGGAGCTATTTTACTTCTGCATCCTGATTAATTAAGTGATAGTAAACAGCTCTGTCTTATAATGAATTGAGTTCTAGAGACTTGATTTGCTGCTTTTAGGAAGCCTGTACAACTCCCCAGAGAGCTGCAACCCACTTTGCTCTGTACTCTTGCAGAAAAAGAGAGAAGGTCTTTGAATGACTATAAACACTCGTATTTCTTATTTCTTTGTTGTCAAGAGTGATTATGAGAAACAGGGAAGTCGTATTCTGACAGAAATAAAATATTTTTCTGGCCTGGTATCCTAAGAGAAAAAATAAGCCTTAAAATGTTGCACACTGCTTTTTCTGGATGTGCTTGAAAAGCACTTGTTCACCAGTGATCACCCAGCTTGACTGAAGTGAGAAAGTATCGAAACTGATAACTTGTGTAAGGTTTTTAACAAAAGGAAATAATTCAAGCTGGCATTTCCACTGAAGAAAAGGCATTTTTGTAAAGGGTTACTTTATGTTGAGTTGCATCTAGTTGCCCATTAAAAAAAACAAACAAACAAACATGCATAAATACATTTATGCATAGTAAATGGCATACATGTAGGCGTAGTTGTAGACTAGACATAACATGGCTAAGATGTGGGCAGTGTGGAGAAGAGGAAAGGCATGGGATTGTTGTGAAGAAAAGGAGACAAACCTCTGGAAAACCACTCGTGACTATTTCAGGTGCTTATGGCACTTGGCTTGGTTTCTGCTGTGACCGTGTCCAGGAGATCTGTCCCCTAACCTGACTGGCCTCGTTGTTAGCTGGTAGAAACCAGTGCAGGTCAATGTTGTGATAAGTTGCCAACTACCCTGGGTTATAATAGAGTAAAATCAAACTAAGTTCTCATAGTAGTTAAGAAATGTGTGTGAGTTTGGGGTGTTCTGTTGTTCTCATGTTTGTTGTTGTTTGAGAATAGAGATACGTCATTTTAATCTTTTCCTGTAACTGATAGTGCCAGTGATCCTGAATTTCTCAGTTGCTCTTTCAAATAGGATGGTGGTCGTTACATGGGCTTTGACAAAACTGAGGAATTAAATGCACATTGTTTCATTGCAAGTGTTTAATAGGCAGAATCAAGGTGGGTAAGGGCTCTGTGCTGTTGCTGGGAACTATCTACCTCTAGAAGTGCTCACTTGGAGGCGGTGTATTAGTGCTTTAAAGGGAAAAAAATTAAAAGCAGAGCGTAAGCTCAAAGATTGCTGTATATTTTCAGTTCTTTTGTTCTTTTCTATTACTGTGATTTGTGGACTTGCTGTAGCTGACTTATACTGTTGAGAGGCTTCAGCAGCAGTAGGGGTGAGATGGGGAATTTTCCCTCCTTTAGTTTAACCAGAGGGTTAAGAATTAAAGATAGAGTTCTTATATTCCTTATGTCATCTAAAGCTCACAGTGAAGCAGTGGTAAAGAAGTCAATCTAGTTAGCAAAGCACCAGTGGTTTCTCAGTTCTTGAAGAATTTCAGGTCTTGTCAGGAGTTGTTCTCAAATCTCTCAACAGAGCTGTCTTCAGAAGTAGAAACCTGTTAACCAACTTGAGCACAAAAGATTAACTGCGAGGTAATCATTAGACATGTTTTAAGCTTAATGTCTTGAGCTTACAGAAGCTTTTTATTTTGTCACAGGTGTAGTTGTACTTGGGCTAATATGCAATGTAACAGGAGATGTACTTGAAAAAGGAAGTATTCATCTTGTGTATCTATTGTCTTTCTTTTAGACTGAGAGTAATCACGACACAGCATTGACACTTGCTTGTGCTGGTGGCCATGAAGAACTAGTACAGACACTGCTGGAGAGAGGAGCTAATATTGAACACAGAGACAAGAAAGGTAAGTATCTCACTATGGCAGTACAGACCCTCTCTGGTTTTCCAGTGTATCACACTAAATAAATACACAATAAGCATTGTCTTTATGTGAAGCTTTTAGGCTTGCTTTTCTGGTTTAACCGAGGTCACTCTTAAACTTGAGCTATGAACGTGGATTCCTCAAGCGTCCTTTTTTCATTTCAGGGTTTACTCCGCTGATTTTGGCTGCTACAGCCGGCCACGTGGGTGTTGTTGAAATCCTACTGGATAATGGAGCTGATATTGAAGCCCAGTCTGAGAGAACCAAGGACACTCCCTTGTCTTTGGCTTGTTCAGGAGGGAGACAAGAGGTGAAGTAAAACTTAAATCTTCAAAAGCAGTGTGTAGATTGCATACTGTGTCAGTATACTAAAGCAGCCTTCCAGATAAGTTACAGTAACTTAATTCACCGTTCGATTTCAGGATTGGTTTTTTTTTTAAAGAAAAGAAAGAGCTTCCCGTTTTCTGAGTTATATATTGCAGTATGTCTGATATAAATTATATTTCCTTTTTTTTTTTCTTATTTTTTTATTTTATAAGCTGGACCAGTGCTGTGCAGATGGCCTCATGACTGTAACTATTAGTGCCTCATTATGGGGCTTTTACCAGCATAATTAGATGTAGATATGAAAGGGAATGTGGTGAGTGTTCTTGTTGACAAGCTGGAGTTAGACTGGAATCAGCTCCCTGTATGAGCCAAGAGGATTTTCTAATGGATTCTGTATAAGCCATAGGATATTGGAGTACTGCAGATGTCTCCGGTGTCTCAGACTAAAAAACACACAAAAAACCATTTTTAAAATGATTGATCAAAAGTAAATGTAGGGGAAGATTTTTTTAACGTTACGTGGAATGCTGTGTTTTGAGACTGAATTATGAAATCTGAGTTTTGATTTTTTTCTAATGGTTGTTGCAAATTTTAAGTGTGTTAATTCTGTTAATGCTTCTACTACTTGGATTACAAAAGCCACGCAGTGGAAGCCATGTATTGTGGTGCAGGATCACATTCCTCTACCTATGGCCATCTGGAAATAAATGAGGTTGGAGACACCTCTCCTACTTTTGTAGATGATCTTAACAGGGATAATAGAACATTTAAAAGGTGGTTACTTCCCTAAACAAAACGTCTTGGAAAACTTGTAGTTCTTGTGGCCTGTTTTTAGTGCCATCTGGAAGATTTCAGATATTGGGGGATGAGCTGCAATGACAATCACATGCCCTTCACATGGTGAAGGGAGAGGTCTGCTTTTTAGTGTCTCTCATTGGCACTTTTGTGGTCAGCAACCTCATACAGCAAAGGGGCATTTATTTATGCTTACCTTTTTAGAAATTTGCTTCATCTGTGTTTCTCAAAGAGTACTTGGAGGAATGCATCATGTTTTCTTTCATCATTTTTTTGGGAAAGAAGATGAGAAAACACAGGCCTTTGGGCACTAGAGATGCTTTTGGGATGCCCTCCTGCCCCAATTTTTGTGTTTGGCATTATGTTTGGCCTGTGATTTTGAGAGAAAATATTCTGATTGAAAAGCCCTTGGCTTCAGTTGTGTGGATCTAACCTAAATGTGTTTTAAGCTTAAAAAGCTGAAAGTGGAGCAAATGATTTGGCATTATGTTTGGCCTGTGATTTCGAGGGAAAGTTTTCTGATTGAAAAGCCCTTGGCTTCACTTGTGTGGATCTAACCTAAACGTGTGTTAAGCTTAAAAAGCTGAAAGTGGAGCAAATGAAGCATTGCGCTGGAGATGACACAGTGGATTTTCACTTCAGTGTTCATTTTGATTTTACGCTGATATATGATTTTAGTTTCTTGTCAAGTCTTCTGCAGAAACTTCCATTACAGAATGTAAGCTTCATGTAGAATATGGGAAGCTGTGAGTTGTTTGGGTTGTAAGTGAATCTGTAAGGACTGCATAATGTAAGAAATATTTGCCTTGTTTTTGTTATTGTCCAGAGAAAAACCAGGGAGGGGTGCAGATATTTTTCTAATGGCTCTTGCATGCGATTTCAGTGTACAATCTACACGCTGTTCAATGTAGTGATGTAAATAGAGGATATGAGATAAAACCATGCAACTGCTTTCTTGTTTGCTCCACAGCTTCAGTTTGAGGCTGAATTTTTAACGTGATAGTGAACTGAGCATTAAAATGAGAGAAGGCAAAAAGCAAAAGCACTTTGTATATGGTATTCAAACTGAATCTTGTTTTGGCAGTCTTAAAAAACTACTGAAATAATCATTAAAAGATCTAATTTTTTTTTCTAGCTATGTTATACAGTTTGGTATGAATGATTTGAAGTATGCTAATGAGCAATCGTGATTGATTGTTAAAGGAAGTTTTACAATGGCTTTAGGAACATAGTTACAGCCTCATCTGTTCGTAGAGGTGAGGACTATGGGGAAACAACTGAGTAAAATAACTTTCTTACTGTTGGAAGATGTCACCGGTGTATTGAGGCTTCAAAAACATTTGCCCTGGATAGATTTGCAAGTTCAGAAGAAAACCAGATGTTATTTCTTAAAACACTGCAGGTGGTGGAGTTGCTGCTAGCTCGAGGGGCAAACAAAGAGCACAGGAATGTTTCTGATTACACACCTTTAAGCCTCGCCGCTTCTGGTGGCTACGTGAACATTATCAAGATTCTGCTAAATGCTGGGGCAGAAATAAATTCCAGGCAAGTTCCCTTTTCACCCCTTCCCTCACGGTTTTTGTAGTGTTCTGAATTTTTATCCTTTCCAGAAGGATTTCTTGACAAGTACGTGGAGTAAAATCTTACCTATTCTTACATGATCACCACCAGTGTATTGTTTAATTTGTAGTAGGCTTCTTTCCTCTTAAGTTAGCAGTGAAAGGTATTGACTACTTTTCTAATGCTCTTTCAACTTCCATCTCCATCTGTGTGTTTTGTTACCTTCTTTCCTACATCCTACAGTCAGTCACCTTTGTCAGAGATGGAAATCTTTCTTCCTGCTCTGGTTGGCCTGCTGTATTGAAATAGTTCTGGGTTACATGAAGAAAGTGCGTGTGTTTGTCATCCCTTTGTTTTCCCTGTGTAGTCTAATGAAAGCTTTTTCTGTGTGTGTGTGTGTGTGTGTGTGTCTGTCATGCTTTTGCTTCTGTTGGGAGGTAGAAAATAGTAAGTAGCTCAGCTGTGCACTGCACAAGTCAAATGAAAGGTCCAAGCAAAAGTTACGCTCCTCGTAAGAGATGCTTTTAAACTTAAAGCAATTAAAAGGTAATATGCATAGTATCTTTAAGTAGAGATATTTGTCTTAAGCAATGCTGCTATGGAGGACCTCTTGTAGTTTCAGTAATAGTTGCTGTGTAGCTGATTTTTTGGTCTTGGATAAGTACTCTGCCTTCATGAGTTTATTTTTTTAAAGTCATTTCAGCAATGTGATTGTGATGTAAAGAGTTTCTTGGTTTTTCTTTTTTTGTCTTTCAGAACTGGTAGCAAATTGGGCATTTCTCCCTTAATGTTGGCAGCCATGAATGGGCACACTGCTGCTGTCAAGCTATTACTGGACATGGGCTCTGATATAAATGCCCAGATAGAAACCAACAGGAACACAGCACTGACTCTGGCTTGTTTCCAAGGCAGAACTGAAGTAGTTAGCCTACTGCTTGATAGAAAAGCTAATGTGGAACATAGAGCTAAGGTAAGGAGCAAATAGCTGAATAAGTCTCCAAAAAGAGGTGCTTCTGAGTCATCCCTTCTCTGTGGCTATCTGATTTTCTTGCCTTTTGTGCAGGTTAACTTTTCTAATTCAGTTAACTGAAATGAACCATATTCTGTAAAGAAAAACAATGACTGCACTTAAGGGCTGGTATTTCAGTGGTTACACAGTTCAGCAAAAAATAAGTGTTTCTTCTGAAGTCTTAATTCATCTTCAGGTGCTCACAAGCATAAGTATAGCAATCCATCAAGTTAATAAAAATGAAAGGTTTTAATGTATTAAAAACCAGCTAGCATCTTGGTCTAGGTATGCTCATGGTCTCATCTCTTCTGTCTGGCCAGCTGCTTATATCCACAGTGATGCTGCAGAATTGAAAGGGAATATGTGTGCTTGAGTCTGTCAGTTGATCCCAGCTCTTTAAATGGGAAGAAAAGCTGTTCACTAGAAAAATGGCTGGAATACTGGGATGGAAAAAAAGATTTCCTCCAAATGTGGCATTCTGCTCTCCTTTTCTGCTGTACTTAATGGTTGCCACAGAGGAACTCAAAAAGGACCTGAACGGTGCTGATTGCTGCTAGGTATTCTTCTTGCTCAAGTTATGTGTCCCCCTGACCTAGCCAGGTGCTTTCTGGATGTGGTTGCGTAGGATCTCGTAATGAAGGTAGGAAATGTGATTCACATCATCTGTATAATAACACGGGCACTTTATGGGACATAATGCTGGTGCTTCTCAGGAGTTCAAGATTGATTTTGAGAAGCTGACAGCAGTGGACTTGGATTCCCTGTGAGCACTGTGCTGCTCAGGGGAAGCTCTTCTCAAGCCAGCTGAAGATGAGCTCGACTTCAAAATGTTGCTAAGCTGTTCAAGAATTGGCCAGAGAACAATTGGAATCCGTACGCTAGAACTAGAAATATATTGCTGGAAATTGAAATAAATCCTAGCTCTTGAGTAAAACACACACACCCCCCAGCTCTCTCCCTCTGTGCCACCCCCCACCCCTCTTCAACTAATTGCTTGGTTTTCCTTCTTGTCCTAGACTGGTCTCACACCATTAATGGAAGCAGCTTCTGGTGGATATGCAGAAGTGGGCAGAGTTCTGCTGGACAAAGGTGCAGATGTAAATGCCCCTCCAGTTCCTTCTTCAAGAGATACAGCTTTAACCATTGCAGCAGACAAAGGGCACTACAAATTCTGTGAGCTTCTCATTAGCAGGTACTGTATTTGGAAGTGTGCTGCTTAAGGAAAAACATCCTGAACGTGACCTTACTTGGACTAATCTTTTTCCAATATACAATAATATTCTCAATATACGCTACAGGGTAGGAAATGGGGCAAGGTGCTGTTTCTATTGACCATTACTATGTAATTTCTATTTACCAAAAGTGATCAAACAAAGTTCTCTGTGGTGTTAGAGTGCTTGCTTTTGCCCAAATGGACTAATTCAGCTTTTCCTGTCTCACTGAATCATGAATGTTAAACAATTTCTTGTCAAGTTGACATATATGGTGCTCATAATCATGACACACAGACATTTTAGGTGGTAGTGTTAAGTCCTTAAATGATGGAAGATGTGCACAAAACATGTCTTAATGGTTTCAGTTTTTTCAGGTTGATCATGATGCACATTGAGTGTAATCATGTTTCCTGAGTAGCTTTTGGAAATGTCGTTTTCCTTGTAGTTGCACTGGTTGTTGGCTTGCACTTGAAATGTTGTTCAGTTGTTCTGCGTGAGCTAATGAAGAATACAGTACAGTGATTGATGGGTGTTAATGAAGTAATTAGGGAAGCTTCCGAGACAACTGACAAGCAGCATGATTTAGAGTATTAAAAATGGTTTTAGGCTGAGTTGAGGCTCTTCACAGCACCAGAAGAAACAAAATAGAATTTTTGAAAGCTGAAGAACTCTGTAAATCCACGTGTTTGATGTGAAAACGAGTATTGAGTTTTAACCCTGTTGTTCTTGTGTCGCATGTCCAGTTTGACAGTCCAGTTGATAAATGAATAACTGGTCCAGTGTTTTGACTGAACATGTTTGTTTTTGTAGAGGAGCTCACATTGATGTGCGTAACAAGAAGGGGAATACTCCACTGTGGCTGGCAGCAAATGGAGGGCACCTAGATGTTGTTCAACTGCTAGTTCAAGCTGGAGCTGATGTGGATGCTGCCGATAACAGGAAAATAACTCCTCTCATGGCAGCCTTTCGAAAGGTAGGATGTGAAGTTCAGCTTTGGTGTCAGCTAGTATTGTCTCAATCATCCCTACATAGTTGTTATAGATAGAACATAGCTGACAGAATGCTTATCTAAAAATATGTCAACTAATTTTGATACTTGATATTGAATCTTCAAAAATAGGTATGTGTGTCACCTGTATAAATTTGTGTTAAGTTCTAGTAGAAATTTGCTTTATAGGCACTTTTCTGAGGCTGGTTCTCATAGGTCTTTTGAGAGGTGATAATTGCAGTGTATTTGTGCAGAGAGGGGGAATACGTGATGGAATGGGGGGGAAACTGGATTGGTTTCTCATGCAAGAGAGGATGAGCACTTTGGGGAATAAAAAAAAAAGTGGGGGGGCAATTTAGCCCAATTTGACTCTAGAGATAATAATTGTTAGCAAGGGAGGGTAGTTCAGGTGCTGTAGTAGTTGTAAAATAGGAAATGACTGTAGGAGCCTGCAACTGTTAAGTTACCATAGCTGGGCATTTGACTACCAAAAATAAAAGGCAGAAGTATGTTTATTCGTAAACGTGAAGAGACATGCCTCACTAGTTTAGCATGTTATAAAGAGTAAAAAAAACCTGAACCCAACCAACCAAAAAAACCCCCCGAAAACAAAACAAACCCCGAAAATAAGGAACACAACAAAAAACCCCCAAGTAAGTCTTGAGAGCATCATTTGAAGGAGCTGAAAAGAAACTTTTTGCCATGAGTGCCTAGACTGAAGTGTTTCTTGGCAAACCAGAAGGAGCTGGCCTTATGATATGAAATGTCATCCTTGGAATTTCTTTTTCAGGGTCATGTAAAGGTGGTGCGCTACCTAGTGAAAGAGGTAAACCAGTTTCCATCGGACTCAGAATGCATGAGATATATAGCAACGATCACTGATAAGGTAAGATTGTAAGAAAAAAAAATGTTTGAGAAGGAATAGTGCTGTGATTCTGCTTTAGAGTTGATGTTATGAGTGGTCTTTAGCTTCCTGGCACACCAGATTTTGGCCAAATGATGGATCTCATTGGAATTTTTTAGAAATAACATTGAAAAAACAGGTAACGCGCAGCCACAGTAACTTCTGTGTGCCTTAATGATGTCAGAGTAGTAGTGAAGGCAATGTTGTTTGTTATCCATGCTTATTTTCAAGTGTTCTCCCACTCATTACCTCATTCTGCTCTGCATTCCTCCCTATTGAGCAAGTTTGTGCTGAATTTGTGGTGGCTTTTGCAGTGAGGTGGAGGTAACAAAATAAACTTCTGCTAAGAGTGTGTGTGAGCTCAAGTGTGAAGATTCACAATCTTTTAAAATAAAGTTTGTAATAGAAAGAAGGTAGAAAACATAATTGACAGTAAAGTGGTTTCTTCTAGCAAATTAAGTGGATTGCTGCTCTTCCCTGTGGAGGTTCAGTTTTATTTGGTCTATCTTCAGTCCAGATGAACGGGGCAAAAAGTGTTTAGTAGTGAGAGAAAAAAATAACCAGTGCAGAAATAATATCTCTTACTGATCCACTGTGCTGCAGTTGAGATGTCTTCTTTCTGGGCTTCAATGATGAGCATGTTGAGGCTGAAGAGGTGCTCATGTGTAAATTGGGACCTGTTTTATTGACAGTGGCTGTGACCACAGTGTGCTTTGGTGATGCTAGACACCCTATGCATTTAAACATTTTCACTGCTATGAAACCAGTATAGGTTTGAGTAGTACTATACTAATAATGTATTTCCCCAGTGTCTTAAAGAAAAAGGCTTGGTTTATGATAATAGATTTATTTCTTGTAGTTGCTTCACCTTTCAGACCTTTTGCTTTTTATTTAATGAAATTATTTGGTCTTGATAATGGGCACAGGTATGAACTGTCTTTGTGCCATTTGTAGCACACTGAGACGTAGGTTATTGATTGCACGTCACACCTGTGAGTGGAATATCAGTTTGCAAGATTGAGGGTTTAAAAGAACTTACTGGAGGGAACTTAAAGTTGTCCCTTAAAAAACTCTTGTGCAAGTAATGCAACAGTTGTTAAATTACAAGTTTAAGCTTGATCATTCATGTAAACACATGCAGTGTTACTTCTTCAAACGGAGGGTTGATGTGCTTTATCATTTTAGGAGATGCTGAAGAAGTGCCACCTGTGTATGGAATCAATTGTTCAAGCCAAAGATAGACAGGCTGCTGAAGCCAACAAAAATGCAAGCATTCTTTTAGAGGAACTGGACTTGGAGAAGGCAAGTTGAAAGAGCTTGGAGCTGTGAATATGTATTTGATAAAATTCTAGTTTTAAGTTTCTTCAAGATTATAAGATAAGTGACAATACCTATGGAAGTATAGGAGTATTTGTAATTACCCTAATTGGAGTATCTAGAGCTGAGCACCCTGTTGTTCAGGTTATCTTTGAAGTTTACTTTGACTGTTACTCAGAGAAACTGGATCAAGAAACTCTGATATAACTATTTCTTCTGGAATAATACTGTACCAAAAGAAGGATTTCTGAGTATAATTTTTTGTCAAGCGCATGATAGACGGACATTTTCCAGTCACACTGGTGTGGATTTGAGGTCTCAAACCTGTTTTGTGGAAAAATTGAAGTACAAGTATAGTGTCAAATAAGTGCATGCTTAATATTCAAGCTAGCTGAAACCATTTCATCTCCTAATCTCTGAAAGGAGTTGTTTGTACTGTACCACTGAGACACGTGAGTTTACACAAAGCATCCTGAAAATGCTTCTTGGAAAACTTTGACTTGAGTTTGCCTGTCCTCTGTCTTAAGGTGTCTGCCCTCTGTTTCTACACTAACCTTATGTTAACAGGAGTGAACAATCTGTTTGGAAGAATTACCTACATAAAAATACGAATCATGGAGGATTTAGCTTCTGTTTTGTAAATGCAAATTCAGCTTCCTAGGAATTAGAATGCTTTTGTGTTTCTTGAAAAGCACAGAGTATCTTCTAATATTGTTCCATGTGCTTGACTTGTAGCTAAGGGAAGAAAGCAGGAGACTGGCTCTGGCTGCCAAAAGAGAGAAAAGAAAGGAGAAAAGGAGGAAGAAAAAAGAAGAACAAAGACGAAAACTAGAAGAAATAGAAGCAAAAAATAAAGAGAATTTTGAACTTCAAGCTGCTCAGGAGAAAGAGAAGCTAAAAGCTGAAGGTGATTTATAGTATTTGCCTTATTTTTGAAACACAGTCTTGTTTTTATTCCCAGTATTAAAAATGCTTTTCTTTTCAAAACTTGGATAAGCAGGTCATAAGAAACAAGCTTTGTTATGACCTGCTGAGCTTTCCTTTTGTTTATCTTTTTAATTAAACCAGTAGATTAGCATGATGGCTTCCGTAAGAGTTACGGGTTAACTTTACCATGGGGATGGTGTTGGTTTGTTTGGGTTTTTTTTCTTCCAGGGCCCAATACTTAAAACCAGGTCTATTTTTTTTTTTTTAGCTTACAAAAAGAATTATAATAATGATTAGCTTAAAAAACTGTCAGTATAAAATTTCCAAATACGTATCATTCTCTCCTTAACCATCGAAACCTGGCTTTTCTGTATCTTGTGGAAGTGAGTTTAATGTGGTGTGATGAGAAATAGTTTTCACTGATTGTTCCCTCACTCTGATATGCTGAAAGGAAGGGAAGGTGTGATTCATTTTTTTCCTGCTGTTTCACATGCTTCTTTATGTCCCTTCATTGCTTACATCTGTCTTTCCATGTCTGAATTCAATTTCATGTTTGTTAAATTGCTATTGTGTTTTTTCCAAGAATGAAATTCTGTATGAGTCAGCATAAACAAGGGGAGAGGCTCCATGGTATGATATATGTAATAGTTTCACAGATGTTTGCATAGGTAGTGGCTCTGTGTGTTTCTTGGAGTCTTGTAAAAGTTACTCACGAGTCATTTGATAGGATAAGTGTGATTTTTGAAAACAAAACCACATAAACTTCCTCAAAGCAAGCTAAATTAGTACTGTGGGTTTTTTTGTTGTTGTTGTTTATTATTATTATTATTATTTTATTGTTATTTTTCCATCAGATGATCCAGAGGTCCCAATGGAGCCTCCTAGTGCTACCACTACAACCACCATAGGTATATCTGCAACTTGGACGACATTAGCAGGTTCCCATGGGAAGAGGAATAATACCATCACCACAACAAGCTCCAAAAGGAAAAACAGGAAAAACAAAGTAACCCCTGATAATGTTCAGATTATATTTGATGATCAACTCCCAATTTCCTATAGCCAACCAGAAAAAGTGAATGGTGAATCTAAGAGCAGCAGTACTAGTGAAAGTGGTGATAGTGACAACATGAGGATTTCCAGCTGTAGCGATGAAAGCAGCAATAGCAACAGCAGCCACAAAAGTGACAATCATTCTTCCACAGCCGTTACTAACACGCAGAGCAACAAAAAGCAACCATCAGTTCTTGTCACTTGTCCAAAGGATGAGAGGAAAGCAGTTACCGGCAAATCGTCCATCAAGTAAGTTACTACGACCACGCTATTTTAAGGTGGTTGTTTCCCTGTGTTTGAACGCTGCACCCTTATCTTTGTGGACTTGCATTCTTAAATCAGCTGTTAGGAAGTGGATGAGGTGAGGCAGTGTGTCCTGGGTCTAGTGTGCATAAGGAGTATAAAAATCGTTGCAGTATGAAGGTTCTGGAGCAAGAAACGTGATGGCGGATCTGGAATTAAGGAATTGTTGGGGTATTTTGAGATGTAAGCATCTCAATTCAAGCAGTTTCTTAATAACATAGTGCTTTTGTGTTAAAAGAGGAAAATGAGTTGGGGGGCTGGAGAATGGGCAAAATGCAAGTCATCCTTTTTTTAAAAAAAAAATATTTTTAACTGCATAATAACAGCATTTAATTTCTTTCAAAGGTTGTCTGAAGTTATTAGTGAAGTGACGAGTAATTCCTTGTCTACTTGCACAAAATCTGGTCCTTCTCCCCTTTCTTCTCCAAATGGAAAGCTAACCATTGCTAGTCCTAAACGTGGTCAGAAAAGGGAAGAAGGATGGAAGGAAGTTGTCAGAAGGTAAGCACAACATTCCCCAAACTGCCCCTTGTTGATGTCCTTTTTCAGAATGTTTCATATTCTTATCAGACCTGATAGATTTCACAAAATTACTGCTACACAGGTTGAATCATGAGTTATAACGTTGTTTTCACCAACCTACCCACTGCTTCGTGTCATGGAAGTGTTTCCCACTTCATATTGGTTTCTTTTTTGTATAGATCCAAGAAGGTTTCTGTTCCGTCAACTGTAATTTCCAGAGTCATTGGCAGAGGAGGATGTAACATCAACGCGATACGTGAGTGCACCGGAGCTCACATAGATATTGACAAACAGAAGGATAAAACTGGAGATAGAATAATAACAATAAGGTAAGAAAGCTGCTTGATTTGCTCATTCCTGTGGGGATTTTTTTTCATTGTAGAACACTTTCCTGTATATAAAAATGAAAGAGCTTGACCACGTTGTCCCTTGAAAGATCACTTTGAGACAGTCAGTTCTTTGAGGCAGGGGAAACAAATGGGGTAGGGGAAACAAGAACAACTGCTGATTGGTACCATCATGTTGGTACAAAAGACTTGTGAGCTAATACGGAGCATAAATGTTAGGATTCTGTGTTTAGACTTGTTTGGACATGGCCTGATATGTAGACATATTTAGGGAAGTAAACTTTTTAACCATTTGGGTTTTTTTTGGAATGAAAAGTTTTCAGCTTGAGCTTCTTAAATAACTGTCAGCAGCAAGAACGTGCCAAGCTCAGTCTTCAGACAGAGTTATTTTTCTGCCTGCGTTAGCATGATGGGAGACAGGCTGGATCATATGTCAGAGGTGCTTTGCTAAAATGTACCTAAGTACTTAAGACGTGCTTTCCCTTTTCCCTTCCTTCTTTTTTATAGGGGTGGCACAGAATCGACAAGACAGGCCACGCAGTTGATCAACGCTCTGATTAAGGATCCAGATAAAGAAATTGATGAACTTATTCCAAAGAACCGTTTGAAAAGCTCAGCTGCAAACTCCAAAATAGGTTCATCGACACCTGCCACCACGACAGCTGCTAACAGTTCTCTCATGGGCATCAAAGTGACCACCGTAGCTGCTTCGTCAACGTCTCAGACTGCCTCCGCACTCACCGTGCCTGCAATTTCTTCAGCATCCACTCACAAAACCATTAAGAACCCAGTGAATAACGTGCGGCCTGGTTTCCAAGTTTCTCTTCCATTAGCATATCCTCCTCCGCAGTTTGCACACGCTTTACTCGCTGCTCAGACTTTCCAGCAAATCCGTCCGCCTCGGTTGCCCATGACACACTTTGGAGGTACTTTCCCACCAGCTCAATCTACCTGGGGTCCGTTTCCTGTTAGGCCCTTGAGCCCTGCAAGAGCTACCAACTCACCGAAACCTCACATGGTGCCTCGCCATAACAGTCAGAACAGCAGCGGTTCTCAGGTGAATTCAGCAAGTTCTTTGACAACTAGTCCTACATCTACAACAAGTTCAGTGGCTTCTACTGTGCCTGGTTCTTCTGCAAATGGCAGTCCAAGTTCACCTTCAGTCAGAAGACAGCTTTTCGTCACGGTCGTGAAGACATCAAACGCCACAACCACCACGGTGACGACCACGGCGAGTAACACGAGCACAGCGCCTACGAACGCCACGTATCCAGTTCCTACTGCCAAAGAACACTACCCTGCATCTTCCCCCTCATCTCCTTCTCCTCCTGTGCAGCCAGCTGGTGTTACTAGAAGCAGTCCTTCTGACTGCACAGCGGCCTCTCCCAATAAAGGTGCACCTTCTTCTGATCCAGAAGTGGGTAGTCCTCCAGCAGTGGAAACGAGCAGCTCGACCAGCAGTAGGCAGCCCAGTTCTGGTACCAGCAGCTCATCTGTGCACCCTGCTCATCAGCAGCCTCCAGGAGCTCCTCTGCAAGAGGCAAGACCCCCTCTTCAGCAGCCTCAGGTTCCTGCACCAGATCCTCGAATGGTTGTGCCTCCAAATTTAGCAGCGACAAGCTCATCTGCTCCTGTGGCAGGTCCAACAAACGCCCCGATGACCTACCCTATGTCTCAGACATCAATGGGGTCTTCTCAGTCTGCAGCTAAGATGGAAACCCCAGCCATCAGACCGCCTGTCCATGGAACTGGTAGTGTCCATAAGAATCCAGCTCCTGTGCAAAATTCTTCTGTCGCAGTTAATCACATCAACGTTAATCACATCAAAAGGCCCCACAGCGTTCCTTCTTCAGTGCAGCTTCCTTCTACCTTAAGTACACAAAGTGCTTCTCAGAATTCAGCCCATCCAGCAAACAAATCAATGGGTAACAATTTCAGTGCTACTTTACCATTTGGGCCCTTTAGTACGTTGTTTGAAAACAGTCCTACATCTGCTCATGCCTTCTGGGGTGGTTCCGTCGTTTCATCTCAGACGACACCAGAATCTATGCTATCAGGAAAGTCTTCGTTTTTGCCAAATTCAGATCCTTTACATCAGTCTGATACTTCCAAAGCCCCAGGTTTTAGACCACCGTTACAGAGGCCGGCTCCAAGTCCCTCAGGTAAGCCTTTGTTTTGCATTCATACCTTAAAAATACACTTAACTCATAACTGCTGCGTGTTTTTATTTTGAACACGTAATACGTCCTGCTTCAGCTTGAGTGGTCATTTATAGTCAGTCACTGTCTGCCCTGCAATGAAAGGGCGCTGCGGTGTAGCTTAGTTTTGTTTCTGTAAGCAAAGTTGAGTTTATCTTCCTTTCAAGTGCCACGTGTCAAATCTAATAACTATTTTGGAGCTGATGAACTTGATAAAAGTCGAGCTGAGGCATTCTTTTCGCCATTCCAGTCTGCTCGTCTGCGATAGCTCAGATAATAAAACACTTCAGTGTTGTTGCCACCTCCCTTCCCTGTCACCAGCTAATAACTACTTTTAATTTGTTAACTTACTTGTCTGAAGCTGCAGGAAAACAAGCAGCATCTTCAAAATGTTAGGTTGATAGAAAAAAAATTGTGTTTTGATGTGAACTTGTAATAAGAGGTGTGTTCTCTTAACTACTAAATTAAATCTAAAAACTTGATTTCATTGACTTTCTGAATTTTATAGTGAGATGTGTAGCATTCTGCACAGAGGCCAAGGGGTTGTCACAGAACTTTTTCTGTAGCTTCCAGAAAGTACAACACACAGTTTGTACCATTCGTACCTGTTTTAGTAGGACCTGTGAGTTGTTTATGTAGTTTTGTTTATGGATCAAGAGAGGTAACAGCTAGGTTTTTTCATATTTTGTGAATAACATGGTGTTGAGAAGCTTTTGAAGTGTTCTCAGTGAACTTTGTCAACTTAATATACTAAACGTTTTGACTTTGGCAGACTCTATACTGTGTGTCCCTTGAGTCTGCCCATCAGCTCTTGTGCAAAAGCAGTGCTCTCACCATGGTCCTACTGTTATCTCAGCAGTTTCTCTTTTGGAAGGCTACAGGCACAATAGATTGAAGTTGCAGGTGTCTATAGATTTGAGGAGTGTGAAATCAGTTCGTAGGGAAGCAGCTTCTGAGAGCCTGAAGAATTTGACAAAAATTAGAGGTCAGATCTTGATGACATGAGGAAGAGCAGGCAGGTGCTGTGCTGCTTTTTTCTTCTGCCTGTCACTGGTGAAGGGATTTTTTTTTTTTACTTATTAAAACTATAAATCCTTTGCCACGTGCTTTATGAGCAGGAGAAAGGTGCAAATGCCACAGCAATTGTGTGGTAACAGGCTTCCTTAATGGTTTATGAAATGTAAAATCATAAGATGTTATTTTTTCCTTTCTTTATTGAGGAGAATATTAAGGGGGTAGTAATTACTGTATTTTTAATACCTTGGCTAATTGGTGCCCCTTGGTCTTGATAAAAATATCATTTTTTCCTAAGCAAGTGAAAATGTATTGCTGGGTTGGGAAAAAAAAACACTTCAGTGTTGATCATGGTGTATATAGACATTCTGTCAAATAAAAAATGAATGGAGAAAGTCTCCAAATCTTTAGTGTTATTTCCACTGTTCTTGGTACAAAATCCTACTTTCTAAACCCAGAAAGTTTAATTAAATTAGAGATTAATAAAATGCTCAGTTACTTTTCCTATGTTCAGTTATATCAGAGTGTGTGTTACATTCCTTTAATTTATTTGCATTCAAGGTACTTGCGTGGTAACATAAGAATCATTCTTGCCTTGTATATATAGCACAACTGCCACACTTGCAGAGTAGGAAGCTTCAGAATGACAGTTCTCTTGGGGAGAATAGTAACAAAAGCCCCCCACAACTATGGATTGGATCAAAGTTTTCTTCTTTCTTGATTATTTCTGTGATCTGGGCTTACCTCTCAGGGACATGGTGGAATATTGGAAGTCACTTGTGCCAATTTCTCTCATAGGTATTGTCAGTATGGATTCACCCTATGCTTCTGTAACACCTTCTTCTTCACACCTGGGTAATTTTGCCTCAAACCTTTCGGGAGGTCAAATATATGCACCTGGGACACCTCTTGGTGGAGCACCTGCAGCTGCTAATTTTAACAGACAGCATTTTTCCCCACTTAGTTTATTGCCTCCATGTTCATCAGCGTCAAATGGTGAGTTCTAAGTGAGTGGGAAATGAGTTGAGAAGCTGTTGTACAAATAAAGTGACCTCAGTGCATTGCCTGTTTTAGGTAGAATTTTCTAGTTTTCTTAATTTTTAACTTGAGGTATTTTAGATGTGTTTTAAACCTTTATGCCATCAGAGCTTCTGAGATAAATTTTTCTTGTACAAGTTCTGATCTCTAGTGTGTCTTTTTTAGCAGCGAAGGTCATGCTATTGTGGAGTTCCTTATTCTTGCTGCAATTAACTTTGGCCTGTTAATGTATGTGACATTCTTTTAATCATCTTGCACAGAAAAGGTTGAGTTTATTTGTTTGTATTTCAAGGTAATATTTCAAGAGTGAGTTGTTTAAACCTTGTTAAGGATGTTTTACTAAAGCCAGCTCAACAGTGGTGATGGCTTAGTTTTTCTGATGTTCTTAAAACAGAACTGTGTAATGTATCCCAGGAGAGAATACTTAAAGCAGGTTCTGGTACCTTCCTCCACGTTTGGCCCCTGCAGTTTTAGCTGTGCAGTGGACTTCTTTGGGACAGAAAACAAACTGTTGAGTGCTGGCTTATGCAGGGAGCAAGTTGGTCTGTTTTACTGGCAAAAATAATGATAAACAAATCCCACAAAAAAAAATAAAAAAAACCCCACAGAGAGCAAATCAGGATTAAAAAAAACCCCAACCAACAACCAACCAACCAAACAACAAGGAGAAACAAAACCAAACCAACCCAACACCACCATGGGTTTATTTCAGCTGTGCTATAATCCTCAAATCCTCTATTACTGATACACAGTAATGCTTAGTTAAGATTTTGCACCGTCTGTTGTCATTGGTTGTGGTGTATGTCCAGTAGCTGAGCTGACAGGGCATGATAATCATTTTATGTAAGAGACTAAATAGATGGTGGATGTTTCTCTGATCTGCAAGTAAAACTGTTAAAATACCCTTAAGTGTTTGTTATCTGAATCTGCATTATCAAACTACCCATTTTCACTCGTTTAACGTATGGCTTGACATTAAAGGATAGGTTTGTAGTGATTTGAGAGGATCTGGCTGCACTTTACTAAGTGTTCTCGTTGCTTTTCTTGCAGAATCTCCAGCTCAGTCGGTCTCTTCTGGAGTAAGAGCACCGTCACCCACCCCTTCAGCAGTGTCCTTGGGATCAGAAAAACCCAGTAATGTTTCTCAGGACAGAAAAGTTCCTGTTCCTATTGGGACTGAACGGTCTGCACGTATTAGACAAACTGGAACTTCTACTCCATCTGTTATCGGGAGCAACTTAGCTGCTCCAGTGGGACATAGTGGGATCTGGTCCTTCGAAGGTATAGGTGGCAATCAAGGTACGTAGTGTTAGGAGATGTCCCTGTGCTTGCAATTGATCTCAGTATTGTGTTTTCCTAACTTACCTTTGGAGCTGAAGGGTGATACAGAAGTGAGCATTCTTTCCGAAGGAGTGAAGCAGGAGCTTCTGTTTGCCATCCTGTCCACTTAATTGTGTTTTAACAAGTGCTCGGGAAACGTCAGGGGTTCTGAAGCTCCCTGTCTGTGAAGATTTGTTACTCAAAGCGAGAAATTACAGGGGAAAATAAAACCACGGGGTTTACAAGGACGAACTGAGTGAGGATCATTTGATTTAGGAAGAGGGGAAATGAAAGATGTCTCAAGATAACTGTATATTTTTTTTCTGTTTATAAACACTTTATTTTGAACAATAGTATGAACTTTAATTTGTAGCCCAGATAGAGCTTTATGTGCTGAGGATCGTGCGATGGATGAATTGCTAATTAATATTCCACATCTGATTTTTCTTTGTTCTTTCCAGTAATGCCATTTGCATTTTCTAACCCAAGGCTCTCCTGTAGTCACATAGAATTCAATATTTCAAAATTCATTAAAAACTTAAGTTACTAGTGGGCCAGCTTTTCTCAGCAAACACTTCAGGAGTCTGTGATGTAATTTATAGGAGAATACTGAATTTTTTTCAAAAAGAAATCTTTTTGGGGTGGGTTTTTTGTTGTTGTTTGGTTTTTTGCTTGGGATGAAGGGGAATGGCGAGACCATGTTGGATGGGACCTCTGGAGGTCGTGTCAGCCTCCTGCACAAAATGGGATTTGCTCAGGGCTTGATCCAATCTGATCTTGAAAACCTTCAAGGATGGAAACTGCTCAGCCTCTCTGAACAACCTGTTCCACTGCTTGACTGAGGAGTCCAAACAGCTTAAGGTTTTAATAGACTGACCGTGCACCCGCTTTGCATGCAATTGAGTATATTGTCCTGGGGTTTTTTCCCCAAATACAAAATAGGATGTATCCAAACCTTTTTTTACTTCCAGTCTTTTCCCCATTTTTACTTCTGGTCTTTTCCCCATCTGTGTAGTGAGAGACTATTCATCGTTAAGGCTTTAGAAATTGACTTTTTATTTGCATTGTCTAGGTGTAAAAGTTGCCTTTGTCTGTCTCTGATTTCAGAATGCTGTTTGCTTTCTACTTCCTTCAATTACTTCAATGTTGATTTCGATTTTCATTTCAGAATGGGACTGGCTCTTCTCTTGTTGAATACTAGGATGGTTTCAGAAATGTTTCTGTATTCCTTCTCCGCCCCTCCAAATATAATTTCCTTATGTTTTATTTTGAAAAATGGGCTTTTTGGGTGTCTGAGGCTTGAACTGTAGTAACAATACCAAGCTGCCTCTGATGAATTCATCTGATTAGAACATGAACACACATCTCCAGCTGGTCATTTTCTGATTTTGCTTTTCAAAAGTAGTGCACTGTCTCTTAGGTCGTTAAATAACTCATGTAAGAATGGTAATGGAGTGGAGCACATAGTCTTCATAGCTTACATACCCCTTTCACAGCTCCAAATACACAAGGAATTTGTTTTTTTGGAGGAGGAAGAGTTAGCACAAATGCCAGCTTTCCCTTTCAAATGAAGGAAAACTGCAGAGGTGATGCTCTGCTTGCATATAACTGTTCAAAATCCCTTGTGCTGGCTCAGGGTAACTCTACATGCAGGTGCCATTTCTGATGCTCTCCATCCCACATGCACCTTTAGTTTTAATGCAGGTGGATGCACAGGAACTGCAAGCTGAGGAAATGTCACTTTTAGAACCATTACAGTGTTCAAAAGTTAGGCTGGAAAATCATAGAATGGTTTGGGTTGGAAGGGATCTTAAAAGATCAGGGTGAATGGGTGATGAGCAGGTGTCACGTGTAACGCTGCTGCTGTTGGTTGTGTGTCGTTAGATAAAGTGGACTGGTGTCACAGCGGAATGGGGAGCCACATGATCCACAGGCCCATGTCTGATCCAGGGGTGTTCTCACACCAAGCCATGGAGAGAGACAGTGCGGGAATTGTAACGCCTTCCGGTACATTCCATCAGCCCGTTCCTGCAGGATACATGGACTTCCCAAAAGTCGGGGTAATGACCTTCTTGGACTTAATACGCATGTTACCGCTCAATTTCTGTGTCAGTGGGTGAGGCAGGTGAATGACACAGAGGTATCGTTTGCTGGGCGGTTGAGTGTGCATAAGCTAACACGCTCACTAGCTCTGGCAGTACTGCAGAAGCCTGGATCTAATAAAAAATAACTTGTCCATGATGTAATAAATGTAAACATAGAATCATAGTACAGTTTGGGTTGGAAGGGACCTTAAAGATCATCTAGCTCCAACCCCTCTGCCATCGGCAGGGACACCTTCCACTAGACATAGAAAGGTTTTTTTTCTGAAATTCAAGCATTTCATTACTGCTTTAAGACAGAAAATTTAACACCCGTTGCCTTTTGTCATTCTGTACATGCAAGAGTAGCAGTGTTAATGAATATGTACTGATTCTTGCTTTTTCCTCCCCCTAAGGGTATGCCTTTTTCTGTGTATGGGAATGCAATGATTCCTCCTGTAGCCCCCATCACAGATGGTACTGGAGGCCCTATATTTAATGGACCTCATGCTGCTGACCCATCTTGGAACTCGCTGATAAAGATGGTTTCAAATTCCACAGACAATAATGGGCCTCAGACGGTAATTTTTCAATCTTTATTTTTGCAGTTTTGTTTAAACTTAAACAATGTGGTGAAAATAAGATCCTAGCTATATGGAAAATAAGTATCACTAAGTTAATGCAGTTCAGAGGAGTGTGCTGTTGTTACTTCTCTGAACATGTATGTGCTTGAGAATTGGGAAGCTTGCCTCCAGCTTAGTTTAGAGAAGCTGCCTATTTAATTAAAGTAGACACCTGGTTAATTACTGCAGATGAGGGTTTTTTTGATGATGTGTTGTATGCAAGTCTGGATAGAAAAGGTAGTTTTACACTGTATATTTTACTTAAAATGATCGTGATGTCTATCTGTGCCATAATGCATTTGGGGAAACACAATGAATTTGCTCTTATGAGAAAACTATTTATTTGCTGTTATGTCAGCTTTCCCTTCCCAAAAAGGGAAGACAGCATTAGGTCTAAAGGGTTGTTGCTGGGATCTGACAGGTATGATGTCGTCACTGTGTTAGGAGTTCACGTAGGAAGGGAGTAAGTAGCTCTTCTGTCTGCTGCTCTCATCTTGCCTGGGTTATAGGATTGTCCACTAAATATAATGTAGGTATAGGGATTATTTCCCCTAAACCTTTTGTTCATACTTGGCCAGCAACTAATATTATAATGGATCATCAGTAGCTCCTGTTACATTATATCCTGTGTTCATTTTGAATTATACAGTGAGCTCTGTTATACTGTTGTTAAATAAAGGTATTTCTGGACTTAATTTATTAGAAAATGATCCAAGCTGCAAACAGCAGTTCCCAGCTCTGGCAGACCGTAGGTATGCAGAAGAAGAGCTGGTCTGTTGTTTGGCCACAGTTCACATGTGCTCAAGTGGCTCATGACGGTTATGAGGCGACTTTTGATTTAGTGGGAAAACTTTATCCCCCCAAAGAAGGTTTTACTTTGTCATACCTGGGTTTCCCAGTGCTGAGGGTGTTGGTATGCACTGGGGGAAAATAATTCAAGGTGCCAGAAATCAAGTTCTTCATTGTCTGAACTTCCTAAGGTAGAGAGGAAAGATGGTGTCTTGCTCTGAAAGCTGGAGGTCTTCAGGTGCTGTCCCAAACTTTGCACATTATACATAGTCCTGTTAATTCTCTTTCACAGGGGACCTGGCATGTTTAGAGGGAGTACTTATTTCCCTGTGTCTAAAGGGATCCATTTTTCCCATGGAACAGTAAAATATTTATTGCATCAGTGTTGCTAGGATGGAGGAATTAGTGGGCATAAATAGTGTTGATTTCTCCCTTAAATTTTTCTATGAAGGAAAGCAGTCAGGCTGGGTGGAAGGTTTTTTGGGGTTTTTTTGTTTTTTGCACAAAGTAGAAAGGAAGAGGAACATGGACCCTTTGGCCAAGGTGGAAAAAAGAAAGATCAAAACCCCATTTCCCTCTATTCTCACCTGAATTACAGCAGGATAAAACAAAATGCTGAAAGGAACTCAGTATAGTTTGATGATTGATTCCTGTGTTGTTCGATGTGGTTCTTCCCTTGGGTGCAGTGAAAACCGTAAGCTCTGTGGTGTAATTTTGACTTCTGAACTGGTTTGAGCAGCCCAAGCATGGTGTTAAATGAAGCTTTCTCTTTCAGGTGTGGACTGGAACTTGGACACCTCACATGAACAGTGTGCATATGAACCAACTTGGCTGAGTGGGATCAACTTGCTAGCCTTGAGATTCCTTTTTTTGCGGAGGAAAACACAAATGGCAGAAACAGTGTATGTGCTCCCAGATCATTCTACTGATGTGCTTGACTGAAGTGTGTAGGCTTTTTGCAGAAGAACTTACTAACTGACCTTTTTCTGTGAACATTGTGACTGCCCATTCCCCACCATCATACGTTTCAACTTAGTTAGCCTTTATTCTTTCCTTTTTTTTTTTCTTTTTTTTTTTTTTTTTTGACATAACTTTCTGTTGAAGCTGTTCTTTGGCTGGTTGGTTTTAGTACTGTAAACTGCTTCTGAGCAAACACAGAAATTTAGCAAAATTATGTAAACTTGATCCTGAAGTTTTAGAATGGCAAATAAATGTACAATTGTTTACATAACAAATGGCTAAGCAGAAAGTAAATTTCAATATGTCAGTATAGAGGCTCTACTTTATGTAGACTTAAATTAATGTGAGATATGTACCTTCATATTCAGAAATCTGGATGTTTCCTTCATACATTAAACTATTAATAAGCATAACTTTTCTACTTGTGTAATTTAAGTACATTATATAAAAAAAAACCATGGGCATTGTCAGAGGGCTTTTTCCAAATGTGTGTTGGATTTTTTTTGAGAAGACATACATCGGTTGTAACCAGATATTAAGAGTTTCCATTTTCCTTCCATGAAAGGCTTTTTAGCAAAAAGCACCTGAGAAAACAGCCTTTTGGCACATGGAGTCGTCTCCACACTGAACTCCCATACTTGCCTGGTAAACGAGGTAAATGTATCATGCTGCAACATCTGTTAAAAATTACTGTTACAGTTGGGTTGATGCAGCAAGGTCTGTTCTGTTTGAGTGCTTCCAGAGCTTCTGTTCCTCTGGTTCCTCCCTTTGCCTGCAAAAGTCATTTCAGAATATAGACCCTTGGTGTGTGTGCGTCAGTTCAAGAACGAGACTCTTGCCGTTTTAGCAGAGCTTCACTGATAAAAAATTCCTCCACAGGAGGCTTAGTTCAGAGTAAGTGGCTTTGTTCTAGTTAGACAGTGTCTTGCTCCAAACTGGGTCACTGCCCCGTGAAGGTTTATTTGGAAGACTCGAAGCGAGAATGTCCTTAGAGTCATTTTCAGGAGCTGTCACCTTCTTCACTTAGAGTTGCTTGGAGTGAACAGCAGTACCAGGAAGCAAAATCTCAGGGGTCCTGTGAGGCAAGAGGCAATCAGCAGTGACACACAGCTCCAGTCAGGATCCCCATACAAACTGGGATTTATATGGTTTACAGTAGATCTACAAGTCAAATGTATTTCTGTGCAGAACAGGCGAGGGCCAGCGTGATATGTTGCTGGTTGTTCTGCAGCGAGGAAAGCTGAAGGAAAGCTTGTTTATTCCTGGCTGTGTCACTTGGGATCAATGCTTCGTCAAATGTATTTGTGTGCAGAACAGGCGAGGGCCAGCGTGATCTGTTGCTGGTTGTTCTGCAGCGAGGAAGGCTGAAGGAAAGCTTGTTCCTGGCTGTGTCACTTGGGATCAATGCTTCTGTTGTAAGTTACTGAGAGATACAATCTCAGGAAAAAAAAAAAAATTAAAATGGCCCAGATGTGTTAAATGGGCTTCTGTGAAGGCTGGAAGTTTAGTGCAGTTTTGTTTTTATTATGGTACTCTTTTGAAAGCCAGAAGAGAAGAACATTTGTCCAAAGAAACCTACTGCCTTTCAAATATTGTGATATTTCGGAGGTGTCCATAAGGTTTGTGTGTACTGATGTCCATATACATGCCCTTTGGTGATACTCTAAAATCAAAGTAAGCTCCTTTTTCCAGCTGTCTGATCACCTGAAATACATTGTGTAAAGAACTGCTTGTAGCAACAGGGATACCAAACTGAAGAACTGCTAAGGAAAATGATTGAAATGCTCATTTCAGCACCTTACTGTGAGGGGGCAGGTGCCCTTCCAGTTTTCTGTATGACCTTTAGCCTTTTATTAGATTTTTTTTTTTTATTTCTCAGTGCTTCAGTGGAGGATGAATAGGAGGGGGGATTACTTGCATTCTTATTCTGAAATAATCCTGCTGAGAAATACTGCTTAGTATTCCTTACAACCATCAATTCCATGGTTTTCAAATGTATTTTGTTGACTTGAAAAATCAAACTGGACAGGGGCGTGTAGCCTGGATGCTACTTTTGTGGCATCGGGCTTGTTAAAATGAAATCCTGGGAGTTTGGGAAAGTCTCTAAGAGGGACTTTTTTTTTCCTTCAGATTTTTTTTTTTAAATACTTTAAATGTATTGCTTTTTATTTGACAAATAATTTTTTTTTTCTTTTAAAAAAAGAACCTACTCTTTTTCAGAGGTGGTAGGGTTCTTTATTGAAGAAAAAGGGACAAGACCACTCTGATGGAGTGTTAGTGTGTGGGTCGAGGAGCCTCAGGCTGAGGAAGAGAACATGGTGGAGCCATGAGCAGCTGCACCTGTGTGCCAAGCAGTTTCCTTCACCTCTCCTTGCCCGCGGGAGAGGGACGCAGACACAATTCAAGCTCCAGCTGTTCCCAATGACTCGACCGCGGCCGTCCAGCTGCTGATGAGGTGTTGTTAATTGTTAATTAGCCATCACGCGCCTCCTTAGGTGCCTGCCCGCCCTTTTGCCCACAGTCAACATGGCGGCCGCGCCGCTGCGAGGGCGCGCGCTCCCTCAGCGCTGCCCGGCGCATGCGCGGCGGGGCGAGGCCGCTTC